GTATAATATTCAACATGCAACCGGAAGAAAATGTCCACAAAAACGTAAGCAAAAGAAAAAAGAAAAATTTGTATAAGTAAAGATGAAATGAGATGGGTATGGATGGTAATCAAGCACGCGCCCGACGCATTGTGAAGCTGTGAAGAAAAAAAGCTCAGACATGCAACACCGCTAACGGTTTCACAGCGCGTTGAGCACGCGGATGATGCGACAAAGCGCAATATGCTTACTCTCTTCATAGATGCAGCGCACAAATGGATCACCAGTGTAACCAGGTGTACATGAGCAAATTGGATTGTGATTGACGACGCGACAGAGGGCATTGTTGCCGCAAGTGCCATGGCAGGGATCTTTACAGCGTTCATTGATGCAGGACTTGTCTTGCGCACAGTCAGAGCTGCTCATGCATTCCGGACGACAGTTGGGTGGTGCGCCCAAATAGTTCGGTAAGCATGAGCATACTGCATGGCCATTGACAGGTCGACAATTGCTATAGAGCCCACACGGCGATGGCTGGCAAGGGTGGATAGGTATCGGCGGTTCATCTACGCGAGCGAGACATTCAATAATAATAATAATTTCAGTGGGCTTGAGTGGGTGAGGTCTTACATTGCGGCGGTGGCTCAGGTATGGGCGAGCAACCGATGATTGGATTTCCAGTATAACCTTTAAAGCACTCACAGTTCGGCGCATGGTTAAAGACCGCGCATTCGGCATTACGCCCACACATACCCGGACAGGGATCGACGCATTTGTTGTTGACGCAGGCGCGTGTCTTCGGACAATCCGAATTGATGACACACTCCGGACGACACTCAACATAGGGGTCGCCAAAGTATTCGGGTATGCATTTGCATGAAGCCGCACGATCGCGCTCTTCGCAAACAGCATTCAAGCCACAGGGACTGGGGCGACAAAGTTGTATTGGCTCATCAGGTACTGAAAAAGTTTGCAATTGGAAGTAAAATATCAGTAAGTAGTGCGCTTTTCGACTTAGTCGGGATGAAGTGATCTCAACATACTTTCAATGACTTTGTAGCAGCCAGAGAATGGATCGCCAGTATAGCCCGGCTCACACATACAAATCGGTGCGTGCGCACTAACTTGACAGAGCGCATTGTTGCCACATGATCCCACACAAGGATCGGCGCATCGTGCATTCATACAAGCCATGCGCGCTGGACACTCCGAGTTGATGGTGCATTCCGGTCGGCAATTTGGCGGTCGGCCAATATAGTTCGAAATACACGAGCACACTGCGCCTGAACTAGCTGAGCGACATTGTGAATTCGGGCCACAAGGGCTGGGTACACAAGGATTCTGCGCTGGTATGCGAGGTTGATCAAGTGGTTCTAAAAGCATACGAAATTTCTGTTAGTTTTGATGCGTCAACTTGGTGGTCGGCGTGCGCGGTAACCTACTTCTTTCGGGCACACATTGTTGAAACGGATCACCAGTGTAACCATGCGTACAGCTACAAATCGGCGAGTGGTTGGTAACGCGGCAACGTGCATTCTGTCCACAAGTACCCGGACATGGATCCTGACAACGCATATTGATGCAAGCTCTATTCGAAGGGCATTCCGAGCTTAGCATGCACTCTGGCTTGCAGTTGGGCGGATTTCCCAAATAATTAGGTAGACAAGAGCAAACAGCGCGATTGCTTACAACACGACAGGTGCTATACAAGCCGCAAGGAGAGGGACGACAAGGATCACGCGGTATAGGCAGGTACATATCTACATAATTAAGTATTGTTTGAGAAAGATAAGATTGGATATTTTTATTAGACGTGATTGTATTTAGCAAACGTTTTGCCGAAAACATACTTGACTGTTTTTCGTGGCAGCTACGCATTGGATTGCCCGTATAGCCGGAGATGCATTGACACACAGGTATATGATTCGCAACGCGACACTCGGCATTAATGCCACAAAGGCCTATACATGGATCGACGCATTTCATATTCACGCAGGATTTTGTGCGCACACAATCACTATTCTGTACACATTCGGGGCGACAGTTTATATACGGATCACCAAAGTAATCTTGTATGCAAGTACATGAACCAGCACCATTGCGATTTCGACAAATGGCATTTGAGCCGCAAGGCGATGGATTACATGGATCGGCGGGTATATCAGGCACTACGACTATGGAATGGATAGAGCATAGATGGGGGAAGAGAGATAGTATAGTGATGAGTTTTCGCAGCGTGATAGTGATAGTGATATATTCAAATATACAATGCTAATGGTAGGTACAGAAAATTAAATTTAAATAAACATGCATATGATGGCGTAAGATCAGAAGCCGAAAAGGTCAAGGTTAAAAAAAAAATATGACAATGAAACCTAACTTGGTGCATTTTATGCAAAACGGAAAACTGTTTGAAATATTGGATCGGAACTGGACGAGTTCACATGAAATGAACGGAAATATACTGAAATGGAACGCGACGGAATTAGAATAGAAGGGATTATAGTGAAAGCAAATTATATGGAACGACACGAAATGAATGGCTAGATGGAGAGAAAGCGGTACAAAATGAGTAAGACTTCAGTCGAAAAAATGGAACGCAAAGCGTCCTAAGGAATAAAACAAAAAAAATGCTCGAAATGAAGCCCGTTAATGCATCTAAATAAGTGGGATTGAAATAAATTGCATTGGAATTTTATCGAGTGGGTTGACTTGAGCTAAGTTGATCTGGCTCGGGTAGTGCGGCTAGATTAGGCTGGAATAAATTGGACTTGATTGGATGGAATCGGCGGATTTATCGGGCATAGATGGACTGCATTGGATTTGACTCAACTCATTAGACTTTGCTTGAGTTTAAATAGACGCCACTGAATTGAACTGGATAGGATTGGCCTGAGGCATACTTACTTACTGGACGTTCTTTAACATATATAAGTGAAATATTTGAACTGTTGTGGACTAAGCAAGAAAGGAGTTAACTGGTTCGGACAAGACTGGGCCGTATTAACTTAGATGGGATGCGAACAAACGGATCAGAACTGGCTGTGATTAAAATGGACTGGACGGGCTTGATTGAACTGTGCTGGACTAGAATGTATAATAGTGTGTTTGACCAGATTACATCGGATTGGACTATATTGGACTGAGCTAGACAGGAAAGTACTCGACGGAACTGTGCTGATCTTGACTGGACAGGACTAAATGGAACTGTACTGGTTTGGATTTTATTAGTTGAGATTGTATCGCTCTGAGCTAAACGGGACAAAACTCAACATAATCAATAGACGAGAGAGGATGGGAAAGACTAAAATTAATTGAACTAAATTAGACTGGTTTGAGTTGAAATTTAGTATACCGGTTTGACTGAGTTGTACTGGACTACTTTGGAGAGGACAAAATAGGACTGGCCTGTGTTAGATTAGATTGGTTTGGATTCGGCAGTACTGAACTATAATCAAGAAACTCGACTGGACTTGACTGAACTGGATTAGACTTGGTTTTGAGAGAAACAGGGTGGAATTGACTGAAGTGTACTGAACTTCAGCGGATGGGACTGTTTAGGATTGAATTGGTTTGGACTGGACTATGTTATAACTGATTACACTGCACTAGGCAAGAGACGACTGGAATAAACTTGACTGAAATAGATAAGACTTGATTTAGTTGAAAAGAGTTGATCGTGATTGATTGAACTCCACTGGACTAGGTTGGATAGGACTGGATAGGACTGAACTATGTTGGAACAGATTCGATCGAAATTATTTACGTTGAATTGAAAGGAAGACTGCTTGACTGGATTAGAGATCATATCCAAGATGAAGGATTGAATTGAAATGGACCGAGAAGACTGAACTGCACAGGACATGACTAGACCGACCTGGGCTGCATTCAACCGCATGAAGTTGAAAGGGATTGTTTTGAATGGGAGTAGAATGAAATGAAAGCAAAAACAAAGGGTTGGACTGGAATAGAACTTAGTTATCGAGAGAGAGAAGATAAGAGAATTTAAAATGTAACTTTTCGGCTTCTGACCTAACTCCAACTTCAAAAGCAAACAATTACAAACATAAATGTCTAACTATGCACTGCTAAAAGGAGAAATGTAAACATGCAGGCAACAACAGTAATAATACAAATATACAATTAAATAAAAAATATTCAGGCATATAGAAGTAATACATTCAAAAGTACCAATAACCTTAACATAGAAAAA